GCTACTCATTCCCAATCAACATACCTTTCAAATGTAGTCCAACCATTTGTTTGACAACAAACAATTAGTTTTGTTTTTTTTTTAATGCATTTTTAATTTTTATAGGCATTTTAAATCTTAAGTATTATTCCTATGTAATCATAAAATCGTAACTGATTCGTATTTTTAACAAAATGAGTTGATTAGGGTGAATTAAGGTAGGCGTAGACTGAGTGTGACTGTGTTGGGAGATGTATCAACTACAATAGAAGAAAGTCCATTTCTGAAGCTCATTTTTAGTTTCTTGACACAGTTTCCATACAGTCAGGTAAAGTAAATCATCAGAGAAGGTCTTCAACCATTAGGAAGTCTCCATAGGTATCATGAAGGTAGAAGAGCTGATTAAGAAACATCAATGAATATCTTAAAAGTTTAAAAAAGTAAAAAACAAAGGAGCATAGACAGCTTTTAGAGAAAGAAACTGCTCAGTAGGGATGCTGCATTATTCTTCAGGTTCTTCACCTTTACAAAAGGGATTTCTACAGATAGACCATAAGCTAGTGACCAGTTTTATTAAGTGATCTGATTGATCCATTCAGTGGTTTGACGTTTTTTTAATGGAAGATGCTACATAGCATATATTCAATTCCATTATTATTTCTCCACTATCTCAGAAATTTCTAAGTGATCACAGGAACGTCCCCGTTTTGTAAGATGGGAGTTTTATTTTGCAATCCTTTATCTTCAGGTTGTTTTTTAATGGAATAAAAAACCAATATATCATTGTGAGCATAAGATGAAATTCCTTTTTGAGGTAAAGAATGAACAGAACGGGACAGTCTGAAACACACAGCTATTAAACGTCAAGAAGGTCATTACTGTCATTTCTAGATGCTGTTTGTGCTTACATCATGTTCTGTTCCAAGTTCCAAGGAAGGTCCCTTGATCCAAGGATCCAGAGGAACATCACAGGTTATGGAATCTATCTTTGAGAATCTGAACATGACATACCAGCTTACTTTCTTTTCTTCATTTTTGGAGTCATTACACTTTATGCATCACACTTCAAGATGTGCTCTATATCTAAACATCTCATTTGTTTCAGATTTGTTTGCACAGTGGTAGAAAAATGAAGAAAGATTTTAAAAAGAGAGCTTGAATTATTATTATTATTTTTTAAAGCTAGTATCACTCTTAGAATTCAGATGGTTCTTATTAACAAAGGTTTGGACAAGAATCAGGATTTACATTCCCTTCTGAATAGCTGGAATAAGATCATTAGTTGGAAGAGCTTACTGGCCCTTAAAGACGTATTTTTCTGCCGTAACTACTTTTGGCTGTAAGATGGGATACTAACATTGTAGTCTGATTACCCTTTACTTTCTCTTTCCAGATGAATTCCAGTTTGATACTGGCACTTTCATTATTAAACAAAAAAAAAAAAAAAAAAAAAAAAAAGAGTCTGAAATTCCAGTGCTGGTGCTGGCTAATTAAGATGTAGGAAACCCTGCTGTCCTGTGAAACACACACACACACACACACTTTGTAGTCCATGCTGAAAGTATCAAACAAATCAACACGTCATCACGTGTCAATCTGTAATTTCAGGGTATGCTTTAAAACATCGTAATATGGAGATTATATACAACTGTAGTAGGTTAGGTAACTTCTTTCTAGCCAGCATTTTTCTCTCTAGCTAACTTCAGTTTACCAGTTTTATTCCATTGAGGCCACTGACTTCAGGCTAATCGGATTCACATGATTCTTCTAAAGTTGCTTCCTGTTATTTATTTTCAGAGAGATTTATCTCAAGTGGCCATTAACTCATTTTTCCCTCACTGCATTAAAGGGATTTCTATCCAAACTGAGATCTGATATCTTTTATTTGTTGAATATCAGTTTGTTATCTTATATATAATTTTCTGTCAAAGCAATTTTGTGCATGTTCATCATGTGTGTAAATGGTCGGTCTGTCACAAAAAGGGCTGCATCCCAGTACAAGTTGAACTCTGTGTGTCCTTGCAAGAATCTTCTTGTTGTGCTCTTCTATTAAGAGTCTCCAATGTCTACTGCAAGAATCCAGCACCTGTTGCTGCAGGCTGCATCTCTCCTATTGGGTAGCTTCATTTGGAGTGAATGGCCTGTCAAAGAAGCTAGAAAGTTGATGGGCAATAGACTTGGTTTGTTTTCTGGGGCCAAAGTGAATCAAAAGGAATTGTGCTCCTTTGTTCCACTGCTGATGGCTGAGGTTTGGAGACAAACAGAACTGGGGTTCTAGGAGCCCATAGTGGTGCTCTGAAATCATCCCTTGAAGTGAGGCCCAGGCAGACAGGCGCAGGGAAGATGCCATCTCAAGGCTGCTTCTTTGCAGAGGCATTAGCAATTGAAACATTTGGGTACCGGTTCAGGAGGGTAGGAGTGACAAAATCAGGTGCTTGCAAATAAGTCGTTCTGATTACTTACGGCCCAAGAACTACAAAATGAAGCTTAAATATAAACGCTTTCCAAATTCGGATAGGTTTCTGGTTTGGTGAATCCTCACCCCGCAGATGATGATTCATAATACCCTTTTTCTTTAACTGTCCAAGGACAGAAGCATGGTGGGCTATCGAGCATCCTTATTATTCTCACTGCCGAGACTAAGGCTGTTGTCCATCCTGTGATGATGATGGTCATGGTGACACAGTGGGCGATCATTGCTGCAGGGCAGCATTTTTCTCAGTCTACTGCTCTCCCTAGAAATACTCAAAGGAGCATTTCAGCACTGGAGGCCTTCAGAACAAAAGGAAGTGCATGAGACACAGGTAATTTCCAACTGGCTCTTCAGCATACATAAGCCTCTTATTTACAGGATGAGTCACTGTAGATGTAATAGAGGAATTAAATCTTGAATTCATTAAAAATTCCCATTTTCTTGCTCATCAGCTCAGTGAAGAGAATAAGGAGTAGGAATAAGGTAATTTTTAAAATTTTTTTTGTCCCCCAAAGTTTGTAATCTTCAATGCATGTAAATTCTGAAGCAAGACATTAGTAGGATATTATCTTCATCTCTGGGACTGCTAGGTACAAAGGAATAGTGTGCAGATGCTGTCTTCAGCATCATTTGAATAACACTGCATGATTTACTGGATTCTGCCACAGCTGGCAATCCGGGAAGAAGGCAGCAAAAGAACTTAAAAAAAATACAACCTTCTGAAAATAAACTCTTTTGTGGTTAAATAACCAGCCAGTTGGAACTGAAGCTGTGTTTTCTTAGGGTGGCAGAACAGTAGGAAAAGCTGTTGGATTATTTTTGGCAGTGGTCACTACTTTAGATCTATCATTACTAAACTGACTGAGTACACTGAAGGGGTTATTGCTTTATTAGTACATTCTTCCAAAAAGCACAGCACACAGAAGTGCTGCACAAAGCAATACAATGAGCACATAACACGAGCTTGGAAGATTTCAGATTTATGAAAATTAAGCTGTTGTATTTGGATCTTGGTAGCAGAACCAAACGCAGTAAGCACACAAAATGGCAGCCAGCTCTCCTGTGGACGTGTTGCAGGCGTAAAATGAAGTCAACTTAAAAAAAATTGAACATTACTTTGTACGCTGGTGTTAGGAGCATGTTCTCCATAGCAGCTGCACCTGAATTTCCACAGAGTCTATCAGGATACTTTGCTATATGGGAGTACCTTATACAACTCTTCTTTATCTTGTTAAATGGAACAGATCAGTTACCTAAGTATTTAAGATGAATTTACAGTCTGCACCATACTCTGCTGAGAAGATACCTAAATAATAGATTAATCTGAGAAGGAAAAAAATGGTTTTCCTTTGATTTGGGTCTACGTGATCATTTGCAGTGTTACAATTAAGATGAGTTATTTTTTGCCTTGATAGTAGCCAGTGGACAAGCAGTTGAATCTGTGCCTTCGTGTGCCTGCAAATTTTTTACCCTCAAATTCTTTTCAAATATCAGCAAAAATCAGGTAATTCTTGGATAACAAACACCCATCTCATCATTCTCCTTTTGAATATCTATTGAATTCAGGTTATGATGTGAAAGAGCACACGCAAATGAAAGATTTTAGGCATCATCTCTTTACCAAAACAGTGCTGATTCCAAACAATCAGCAGAGTCCCATCACCACCACTGGATATGCTGTGTGATGTTTCATCTGTGTTATTTTTTTCCATTGGAACTATTCTGTAGGTATTATAAATGCCTGTGTGGTCCTGGCAGACCTGCTTTAGGTGGCTCTACTTGAGCAGGTGGGTTGGATCAGATGGAGGGAAGGTTTAGATTGGATTTCAGGGGGAAGTTCTTCATAGAGCAGTGAGGTGCTGGAACAGCTGCCCAGAGAGGCTGTGATGCCCCATCCATCCCTGGAGATGTTCAAGGCCAGGTTGGATGGAGCCCTGGGCAGCCTGGGCTGCTATGAAATGAGGAGGTTGGTGGCCCTGCCTGGGGAGGTTGGAACTTGATGATCCTTGAGGTCCCTTCCAACCCAAGCCATTCTATGATTCGATGAGATGGCCTCTGGAGGAGCCTTCCAACCTAAACCATCCTGTGCTTTTGTCTCTGGTTTTGAGTGAGAACTGATGACATGTGGTGTCATCACTTGTAAGCAGATTTGCCTTGCAGATGAAGAAGATGGGAAGTCTGAATCCTCACTTGTCCTTATCTGTTGTGCAAACTGAGCTCAGATGGTTACATCAGCAAGCACTGCTTTGTTATGCTGCATTTCTCCTGCTCGCAGTCAGCCTGTAAGATGCCTGAGAGGGACTGGGACAGTGGATAATTAAATAGGGTCTCGTAAAGGGGCGGAATAAGGTATCTTGTCTTACAGGCACACTGCTTGTGAAAGCCACGATTGCACTTTAGACAATTAATACACCGTAACAGTGAAAAAGGCACAGCTCAGAGTGCCAAGAGTGTGGATTTGTCCCTGTACTCCTGCTATCGAGTGGGGAAGGGTACTGAAAACATGTATTTGCTGGCTATTGACTGAAACAAATACTTCTAATTCTAGTTGAACACTGAGTGAGCAACTCCCAGACTCAGCTACGCAGCCAAACTGGCCCGATGGCATGCTGCAGCCAACCCCAGCTCAGCATCTGGATGAAATAAAGACCTTTCTCAGGAGCAGCTTTTTGTGCAATATACTCAGAGGTAAGCACAGCACACACAGAGCAGACTGAAATCTTGTATTACCAGCATCACACAGCAGTCCAAACATCTCTGCCAGGGGAAGTGTTTGTATGAGAATAGGTAGCAGGGCATCTGATGAACAAATGAGGGAAGAACTGCCATCCTGAAATTAAAAAGTAATTGATCTGTCTTCTGAAAAGTGAGGATGAGGGCAGTTTGCATTTAATAGTCTTATTTTTTGGAAATGCTTAGTTCTTTGACATATTAAACAAGCTGCATCACCGGTATCTGCTAGCTAGCTATTGTTTGGCTAACAGGGGAGTTCCCACGTATCCCTTCTTCCCATATTCTGCCTCCAGAAATGCCTTTGTGGAAAATGGGTTATTACAAGGAGAGATAATTCACTTAGAAGTCACAGGGCTCATTAAATATCCTCTGGTTTTGTACAACTGTTGCATTTTTGGTATTGAGAGGTTTGTGGTAACAGTTGTGGCCCACGTTACAAAGGCTGTAGTGCCAGCACTGGTACAGCTACGCATCTCCCTGCAAGCTCAGGTGGCTGCACTGGATGGGAACTGTGTGAACACTTTGCAGAAAGGACCGTGGAAGAGTCCAGTAGCTAAACATAGAACAAATTTAGAAACAACCCCTAAAACAGCTTGTAAAATACCTTCACATCAGCAAAAGTCACAATCCTGACAGTCTTAAGGCATGCCTATTCCCTAAATGCTTTTTGCTTGCACTGTCACTGAGACTAATCCACTTTTTGAATCTGTTTTTTAATTTTTAATTATTTTCTAGTAATATTATAATAGATTAAAAGATTCAGTTCTGAATCTTCAGGAAAATACCACATATCCCAAATACATTTGCTTGTGTTTGGGCCACAATCCCATAGAATGCTTTGCCAGAAGGACAGGAAATACAATGAAAGATTCAAAATATGCAACCTAAGAAGCTCAGAGAAAAAAGTGTGGCAGAAAATCAGAAAAGAGCTCTTTGCTGGCATTGCTATGCCTCTTTTCTATAGAAGGGAGTAATAAAAATGGGTATTATGCATAAACATGATATGCTGAGGCTGTTCTGGCATGTCTGAATTGCGCCTGGAGTTCGTTCTGCAAACCTTTTCCATTAACGTTTCTGTTGGAAAAGCTAACTTTCTAGAGATGCAGTGACCCATCTGATTTTAATTTGGTTGTTGAACAAGGGGTTACTCTTTGAATTGTGCACATCCAAGCTATTGAGCTACACCTAGTTCTATTTCCTTGTACAGACGATGATGGCTGCTCAAGTATGAGCAGCATGTGGGCAAGCAGCAGCCCTCAGCCTTCTTTTAAGTAAATTAAAGTAGCTGGAACAGTAAGGACTTTCTCTGTGAGAGGGATTTGACTCCTAACCATCATATCATCCCCATTTCTTCCAGTCCAAAGGCTGCAAGGAGAACTGCTACTGTTGCTTATGGCATTTCTCTCTTTTGTCCCCATGATGCAGGGTCTGAAGCATCTCTTCAGTCTATTTGGCATGTCCTGCTGATTTCTTAAATGCTTGCTAAGCCCTGCACAAACACAGCTGTTTATTTCATTTCAGCTCATTTGAGATAAGAAGTATCCACACAGGACCCTATGGTGCATGTCAGGGTTCTGCATTTTCTACAAGACTGCATCCCAGCAAAGACAAAGCTTTAGTGCCTCTTTGAATTCTAGTTTGAGAAAGCTGAGCAGGAAGGAGTGAAGTCAACAGTCATTGACCCAATCCCAGAAAAACATTAGGACATGCTGGGAAATCACAGCGGAATTGCACAGCCTGATTCCTCCGTTTGAAAAACCCTGTTTGTCCAGTGGGTGTGAGGCTGCCTGCCTGCTGGCTGGACGCTGCAATTCGGGGCCAGCTGAAGCACGTCATGCACAACAGAGCACCAAGACAGGGGAGGAGCCTGTATTGATAGGGATTTATGTTTTTTTCCTGTTTATATCCTGTCTGTACCTCATAGTTCTTCACAGAGGAATACAATGTCAGCCCTTGACTGCAATTTCAGATCATGTTTTCAATGCCTCTGCTGCTGATTTGTTCCCTAACATATGGCTGATTTAGTCAACACATGGCAGTTACCTAATAAAGTATTACTGCTGCTGGTGTTCCAGCATAATATTGTTCTTAGAGATATTTTAGATATTTGTCCCACATTTTTCCACACCCAAACAGATGTGCACATTCTCCAGGCTACAGGAAGACTAGCACTCGCTTTGGGTCTGCTACACAGGGACATTTGTGCAACTTCTTGCTCGTGGCACTGAAAAAAGGACGGTGTGTTCCTCTGTGCCCAGTACTGTGACCATAATGGTTTTAGCCACGCTCTACCTAAGATGCCGACCAGAAATAGTCTGTCACCCATGGTGCTCCTATGTAATACCCATATTTGTCCTAATAGGCAGCCTGAACTTGGACAAATCCCATCTGCCCTCGTGACATGTGATGTCTGAGCTCTTCTGGGAAGGAGCGTGGGCTTTATCTGCCCCAAATCAGCAATGTGGTGCGTCCCGAAAGGGCAGATGGGATAGATGGAGGCTGCTGGAGGCTGCTGAGCCAGCCAGAGTGCTGGGGCCTGTCCACATGGCAGGTAAGTGTGGCTGGGAGTGTGTGCTAATGGCCAGATTCAGGGGGTTCCCCCACTTCCACAAATACCAGCTCGGTGCTCCCCACCCTCACCCGAAGGACAGCCATGCAGACGGATGAACTAAACAGACAGCTATTTTAGCCAAGGTCCTATTTCTACGCTTGCTCCTCTGCAGGGTATTTGCAGCCAAAAGACCAGTGCTGGCCGAAAAGGTTATTGCAAAAATCACCAGAGATTTTACTCCTGGGAACATGCTGTCGCCATATGGTCTCCGCATTAATAATACCAAACAAGTGCTTCATAGTGTTCTAATAACAAATACCAGAGGAATTAATAATAATCTAGCTATTATTTTCTAATGTTCTCACTTTATGAACAACTTTTATACTGTCTGAACGAGCTCTTCTGGAAGATCCACATCTGGTACCCACATGAGAACCTGATGAAATCTGTATGGTCCTGGGTATCTTACACGTTTATTGCCAGCAACACCATCTGTTTCTGCCAGCGTGGCTTACAGTAATACTACATTTTTCTTTTGTTCTAGGTGCATAGCGTAATGTCCATGCTGTACTACACTCTGATTATAGCTTTTTTGATCGGCACACAGGCAGCTCCAAAGTCAGAGGACAATGGTCCACTGGAGTATCCTGCAGAACACTCCTTACCCAGTACACAACAGAGTAACGGACAGCACATTTCCGAGGCAGCCCCACAGACAAGCCACGGCCGCTTTGCTTGGATGCCAGATGGAACAGAAGATTTAAATATCGCCATGGACCAAAATTTCTTTAACAAGAAGCGTTTCCGGTCTTCTCGGGTCCTGTTCAGCACGCAGCCACCTCCAGTGTCAAGGAAGGGACAGAATACGGGGTTTCTCAGCAGTGCAGTCTCTCTCAACAGGACTGCCAGGACCAAGAGGACTGCACATCCCGTACTGCACCGGGGAGAGTTCTCAGTGTGCGACAGTGTCAGCATGTGGGTCGGGGACAAAACCACAGCCACTGACATCAAAGGCAAAGAGGTGACCGTGTTGGGAGAGGTCAACATTAACAACAACGTTTTTAAGCAGTACTTTTTCGAGACCAAGTGCAGGGACCCTCGGCCGGTGTCCAGCGGGTGCCGAGGGATCGATGCGAAGCATTGGAACTCTTACTGCACCACCACACACACCTTCGTCAAAGCACTGACCATGGAGGGCAAGCAAGCAGCCTGGCGATTTATCCGGATTGACACAGCCTGTGTCTGTGTGCTCAGCAGGAAATCGGGGAGACCCTGAGACGGAGCTGAACCCCACAACAGCATCCTCCTATCCCCCTACCTCAGCCTGTAAATTATTTTAAGTTAAAAAAAAAAAAAAAAAAAGGACTGCATGGTGTATTTATAGTTTATACGATACAAAAAGGACCTCATTATTTATTAAACTCTTTTGGAAACCTTTCGTGTTTTGCAATTCATTGACCAGCCGGACTCTTCAAAAGACATCCATCTTTGTCGTAACGCAGCCCTGCAGCTCTGAGCTGCTCACAGGGCCGCTGGACAATCTTTGTTCACCATTCGGCACAAGTGCAGTGCTTTTGTGGCCTTTATGTGTATCCCTCTCTTCCCCAGCAGTTTCCATCACGTAACCTGTCAGCTTACTTAGACAAATAAGCTGAAATGTTTTGACCAGTTACCAAGAGGCTGAAAAAAAGTCTTTTCAAAACTTGCCTCTACTTCTACTAATTATCCTTAGAGGTATTAGTTTTATTAGTCATATCAGGGAATTCCTGGTAGAAAACACTAATCTTCACGATGCCACATGCATTTCTAAGCATGACTCGTAGTGCATTTTTTACAAATTGGCAAAATGTTTTCACTGCAAAAATGATCCATTCTCAGTTATCTTTGAATATTTGCCCGCATACAAGCAGAATCCAGATAAATGTATTTTTTAATTAAAATGCTGTTCTGCAGCTCATTGCTCATGAGCTGTATTAGAGTGATGGGGTTATAAATGTAAACCTAAATGTGTAAGTCAAAAATCATCACGTAGTCGATAATTAAACAAGGGAATGAACTCAAGGTGGTTTTTTGGCAGCGAGGCATTGACACAGGACCAAATGTTTTTATGTGTGATAGAAACAAAGATTTAAAAATACAAGTCTGTGTTTTAGCAAGGAGCCCCAAAGCAAACCCTGTGCTCATCATTTCTGTGCTTTGGAGAACACTGATTTCGGGAAGCAATAGTGGAGCCTGGGGTCCGTGCTGGGTGTTGCAGTCATTGCTCAATGGATAAAGCTGTATTTTCTCTCTCACTGTTTCCTTTGGAAGAACAACTGCTATCCATTGTAGAAACTGTTTCAAAACAAACACCATTAGGGTTTTTAGCTTTGTGTCTTCCAAATCTTAGAGGGCACACTTTACTCGCACGCTGTTCTTTCCGTGATGGAAAAAAGCAGCCCTAACATTTGCTTCCCCAGCGTCAACAGCAAAGGACAGCAAACCTCCAAAGAAAATGTACTGTTGTAAAATAGTGCCAGTCTGAGAGATAAGGCGACAGTACAGAGCCCATTCCAGATAACCACTGGTACTGCACTTTTCAGCCTCCTCGAGGAAGTGATTATGGTGTGGGACAGCGATATTCCAGTAAGAATGTTATGTCCTCTCCAGAACAGCATTTCTGCAATATTTGTGTGAATAACCAGTTATCTGAAAGGTCAGGGAGCGGGCAGGATCCTGACTGTCCTCAGTCCTCCAAATAATGACCTCCTGTTCTGTCGCGGGGGAGGCAATGAAAACTATGAAATGCTTTGAGTGTGATCACATAGGCTCTGTCACAATAGCAGAATATGGTAAGCGTGGCAACCACCTGCCAGTCAGCACAGGAGGGATGGAAGAAGAACAGTGAAAAACACAGTATTTTGGAACCAAGGAAAAAAAAAACAAAACACGTAATTGGAGCAGAGTGGGGCCTGTGCACTTCTGTGGCCTTAAAGCCATGGACAAAGGTCATAAATCTGATCTTTACCATGAATGACAGCATGACCAGGAAAAACTGTAGCCCTGAAACTGACCTTAAAGCAATCTTGGGAGCTGTGGTCCTTCTGCAGCCAGCTGACTGTGCTATACCTTCAAGCCATTCTTGCCATTCAGCCTCTGGAATCTGGAGATCACCAGAGGAACGGAGGTAGGTGAGGGGTATTTTGGGTGCAGCTGTGTGCCCAACTCAATGATCTTTTAGAGCACCTGACCAGGCTGTAGCAGGAAGTTGCCAAGCTGAGGTGGATTCAGTGGCAAGAGAGATTGATTGGTGCTTGGAACCCGAAAGGGGTGATCATGTTAGAAAGGTGCAACTGAGGACCCAAGTCATTACTGATGGCACAAAAAAAAAGCAAAGGGTCTTTGAAATTGGAGGCTCTTTGCTGAGAGGCACTGAGGCACCCATCTGGATAACCTCTCTAGTGGGGTTTTCTGCCTGCTGGGAGCCTGCAACCAGAACATCAAGAAGAGGATACCAGGTATGATAAAGCTGAACCACTGCTATCCCCTCCTGGCCTTTCAAGACCAGGAAATTAAATATCAAACAAGACATGAAGCCCCTTGGGAAGATGCTGAAGGGATTGGGAGTGCAGGTAGTGTTCTCAGTCTTCCCACTTGGAGACTGGGCAGAAGGAGAACGGATCAGCTGAATGACTGGCTGTGGGTGGAGGCACACCAATGGCTATGGGTTCTGTGATCTAGGACACACCTCCATAAACTAGGAATGTTGGTGTGGGATGGGACACAAGTGACTAGGAGGACGAGGTAACAAGCTGTCTGGGCTCATCACCAGGGCTTTAAACTAGAGCTGCTGGGGGAAGGGGATGTGCTGCTGAGTGACAGAGAAGACCCAGGGAATGCTGTCACCTTAGGAAACAGCAAGGAAAAACATCAGATTTGTCCTGGAGGTTTGTGGGAGAGCTCTCTAGGGAGGTAATGCATCCAAAAGCCCAGCTGACGTGCGTCCATGATGCACACAGCATGGCAAATAAGCAAGAGAAGTTAGAAAGCATGGTGCGCTTGGAAAACTATGATCTTACTGCTGCCACAGGAACATGGTGGGATGGTTCATATAACTGGAATGCCACCACTGAGGGCTGTAAGGTTTATAGAAGGGATAGGCAAGGTAGGATGGGTGGGGGAGTTGCCCTCTATGTTAAATGTGGATAGACTGCAAGGAGCTCCCTCTGAGTAACAGTCAGGACCAGGTGGAGAGCCTATGGGTTAAGATAACTTAATGATCCTTAAGGTCCCTTCCAAGCTAAGGCATTCTATGATTCTACGAAAAAGACACTACCTGTGTCCCCAGAGTGAAAGACAAAGAGCTGTCATTACCAGCTCTATGAGTTACTGTAACAAATCTGGACTTGATTAAAGACGCTACTGGTAAACATTGCGCTAGTCATTATGGGGTGGTGAGAGGTTATTTAGTCTGTAGATATTGCTGTGATCTATTCTGTGCTTATCACTTCAATTGATTTTGTGCTTCCAAGACTGCAGCTAGGCTTCTGGTTCATCCTGCATGACGGTAAACTGTTATTACTGACATTTCTTGCTGTTCATAAAATAAGGGGTCCAAAAAAGAGTGGGGAAAAAAGAGTGAAAAAGACTCCACAGAGGAGTTAATAAATCTTTTTTTATTGAATTCATGCCCATAGCTGTCACCCAGCTACAGAAGGGCTGAGAGAGAGCTTTTGAACAATTGATGTGTACAAACCCTGTTAAAGTGGCTCCATACTTTTGGGATTTCAGTATATAGATGAAGGAATACAAAACTCACGTGACAGTTGCTAACAAATGCTACAGCAATTTTTCTACAGCACACCAGGGTCAAATAATTGAATAATGAACAGAACAAAACACAGGAAAGCATTTTTAACACTGTTGCTGACACTCCAGAGGCTTAGCCTTCCAAATTGCAGTGGACCAAACAATACATCTTTCTTAAAGAGCTTCTGATTGCATAAATGAAAGTAACTTTTGTGTCACGTGTCAGAGATGGGTGAACAGTCATGGAAAAGTCTTTAATGTTAAAAGTCTTCTATGATTCTATGGTGAAGGTATCTTAGCACTTTCCAAATCATACCAGCGATGCCTTCAATCAATGCTTCCATCACCTAACATGGCACTCATCCTTGCACCACTGCTGCTATTGCAGTTTAGCTTTTAGGTTTTGTATTGACGTGTCTGAAATCCTGCTGCGTCTGCACTGCTGAGTTATGCCGAAAGCCTGGAGTGCCAAGAGTCCATTCTAACCTTCAGTCTTGCCATCAGGTTATAATCTGTTGAGCCTTGCCCTGATTATTTTCATTTCAGTTGCAATATAGACAGGAGGTTTTGACACTGGCAGAGGAAGAGCCTGGTTATAAAACAGGGGCACACTTTCCCCATACGATTCCTTTCATCATGACACTGATGCATTATCTAATCCCTTATTCAAACATGATTAAGAGAAGCACTGTAGATGCCACACCCTTAGAATAATTTCTTCAGTAAGCAACATCTTTCACTGGAGCAATTAATACCATTGTCAGAGATCTTTCTTGTGGAGATTGAAATCACTGTGTATTGTATTTTTATTTTTCTCTGTCTTCTAGAGGAGTTTCACTGTCTTCTAGAAAAGTCACTTCTGGCAAGAATAAAAATCATAGAATCATAGAATGCCTTAGGTTGGAAGGGGCCCCAAGGATCATCAAGTTCCAACCCCCACAAGCAGGGCCACCAGCCTCCAGATCTGGCACCAGCCCAGGCTGCCCAGGGCCCCATCCAACCTGGCCTTGAACACCTCCAGGGATGGATGGGGCATCACAGCCTCTCTGGGCAGCTGTTCCAGCACCTCACTGCTCTCTCTATGAAGAACTTCCCCCTGACATCCAACCTCAATCTTCCCTCCTTGAGCTTAAAACCATTCCCCCCCGTCCTATCAGTGTCTACCCTTGTAAAAAGCTGATTCACCAACATTATAAGGGTTGCAAGAGTCATTGGACCTGACATGTGATCTTAAATTCCAGCACTTTAAAGATTGTTCACTGACACTTCAACCAAGCTACTTTTCAAAAAGTAAACAGGAACTAGCAGAAACTAAGGAACACTGAATGTTGTAGCCCAAAGTGGAGGAAACTATGGAAGAATATGGAAGAACCATTATACAGCAGTTTAATACTTAAAGAAAACAATCCAGCAGAACACCTGGTAGCACACAGAGGGACTTGAAATTAAGAAAATACAAGACAGAATTATCCAGGTTCTAATGTGGCCTGGAGACAGTACTCACAGGTTTCAGACAGTACAGGAGAGTAACTACATGACCAAAATTGTTTAAAACTGCCAACATTAGCTGCACATCCTTACTGTTTGTGGCTTGGAAGTCACAAGTTGGTATTTCAAATAAACAAAGGTAAGGTTCGCATGCAGCTGAGAACAGAAAACAACATCCTAATCATGGCAACAGCAAACAGGAAGGGGCTTTGTAGATATCTGCAGGTGTTCTCTGTCTCTGCAGGACAGACTGGTGACTAACAATGGAAATCCAGTTCTCTCAACCTAGAAAGGCAAATTCTCCTTCAAAATGCATTCCCAAAGCTGAGCACTGAAACCAAAAACATTTGGTAAGAGCTATTGCTAGCCTGAAGTAAACAGCATTTCAGATGTTTGAAGCAAGTTAACAGATGATTAAACTGAGAGCAATTAGGCACCATTTCCATGTCTTCTAACATGTGTCTCTTGCCACCTGTCTTGCCAACTGCAGGAGTGTCACTGAGCTGTAGAAGCTAAGCAAGAAAACTGAAAATATACTGCTCCTGTTTTGCCATAAGACTGCTAGCTACTGGATGACACAGAAACAGCTGCTAAATGGAACGCTTTGCAAGGCTGACCCTTTTCAGTTATCTTGCAGGCTTGAGATACGAAAGTGACCACATGGTAAGTAAACAGTGGTTTACTCTCATTTTATTTTTTTTAATGGGACTGGAAATGAGCACACATCCATCCACAGATGGCATATACATCGCTATAGTAATGCTCTTTCAAAGAATATGCACGTTTCTGAAAAAAAAGTTTGTTGGTGGTTGTTTTGATTTGTTTCCTTTCTATTTGTCTGAAGAAATAAAGTAGCTATGAGGGTCAGAAATGTTTCTGGGCTGAGTCCAATTCCTTTCCTGACTTTTTTTCCCATGACATTCTACCCAGGGTCGTTCAAACTGGAAATCAGTAGTTCTGTGGTTTACTCATACCAAAAAAAAAAAAAAAAAAAGGGAGCTCTGGTACTTTTTTAGCATATATTACTAAAAGGGTTCAAGAGTACCCTCCGTCATGTGGCTTTGGCTGTTCATAAACATTGCTCTGACCAGTGGGGGAAAATTTAGATATTTCTCAGAATGATTTGTTGCCTTCTCATGACAGTTGCAATTTCAGACTGGATTGGATCCAGTGGGAAAATGTTTAGACAGAATACTGCACCAAACAACACTCCTGAGAGCTGTGCCCGTGGTGAGCCTGTAACAGAAAGTAAGTTTATAGGAAGATATTAAACAAAAATACATCATGCTATGACTGCATGTTGCAGGGTAAAAGGCCCATTCATTGGGAGTAACACCCCAAAGGGACTTCAGGCAAGAAAAGCTGAGCACCACACAAACACGAAGTCATTCTGTGGTCTGTAACACCAATCATTTGGTTCAGCTCTGTATAAATCATGTACAGTGACTGTAGTGAAAGAGATAACAAAAAGGAAAAATGAGGGACATGGGGAGACTAGAAAAGGCAGATATCTCATGCAAACCTTTCCCTCCATGACCCCTTAAATTTTGGGTTTCAGGAGCGCTCAGGAAATATTTAGCTAAAAAAAACTCCTTCAGCAGGCCATGCCAGCTCCGAGCACACAGAAAATGTCTGTGTGTAGCCAACAATATCCTTGCAATCAAAGGGAACCAGTGAAAGTGAGAAGATTCTTGCACAGAGGTCTGGAGGTTGCTCAATATGACTCAGCAATGTTGCAATGGGATATTTTTATATCCCTGGACAAGAAGGAACATACAAGCAGTAGAAGCTCAATGGCTGCTTAAAAGAATTTAGTTAACCTACTTCAGTAACTAAATTATAGATTTGGCTTTTGAAGATCATTAATTACATGCGTAACATCCTTACCCTCCAGAATGTAGCATCTTTTGGAGTGACAGAGTACTGGAATGGGCTGCCCAGAGGGGTGGTGGACTCTCCTTCTCTGGAGATATTCAAAACCCATCTGGATGCTTTCCTGTATAATCCAACGTAGGCAACTGCTTTAGCAGAGTGTTGGACTGGGAGATCTCCAGAGGTCCCTTTCAGCCTGTATGGTTCTATGATTCTGTTATCATGATTATGAATTTAATTCCAGAGCATCAAATAATTTTATTTTTTCTTTTTCAAGAAAAGCACGTTTTTAACAGGCTCACTCTAGAAGATTTGTTCATTACATCTTTGGAAACTGTAGTGGAAATGCTAAGTCACAGCCTGAAGCACTGATTGAGCACCTGGTGGGAAGGCAGGGCCAACCCAGGGGAGCTCAGCTGCATGCAGTGCACCTGAGTGACTGGAAGGGATGGAGTCAAGATCCACCCTTCCCAGATCTCATTTAAGGGTCAGCAGTGGAGGTGAGGATATCTTTTGTTGGAGATCCCCACCTACCAGAGGCCTTCTAAAGGTAAGCAACTCTCTTTTTTTTTTTCTTTTTTTTTTTCCTCTTTCATTTCTCCACCCATGGCTGTTGCATTTTGTTTGCTGTAGCCAAAGGCTTTGCTGCCCTGCTATTATCATCCCATTGTAGCCTTATAGAAACAAACATCTGTTCAAAAATAAGAAGTGATGTTATTCATCCATTCAGGGCAGCACAGTCAAGGGTCTGTATTATATAAACAGGGAACGATGAGGTGCAAATACATCACCCTTCAGTCCTCTATTTCCAATATGGCCAAACTGGATACTTACAGAAAACAAGCCAATGTATGTTCTTAGCTAATAGCTGGTAAAGCTTTAGGTATGACTGAAGCCCCAAACAAAAGAGCAGACTAAAACACCAACCAATCCAAAGAATCTCATAAACAGCATGTATCTCGCCACTCAATAAAGAAATGTCTTTGTCTTCTACAGGAAGGCAAAAAGCAAAAAAAAAAATTGCTGTTAAATCTCAGAATCTATGAAAAAGGGAGGATTACATTGGAAAAAAATCTCTCTAGCCAGCAACAGCATCATTAAATTGTTCTAATCAAGAGAGCTTCAAGGTTGCCAAGAATCAGCTGCAAATCATTATTCATGAAGTTATGGGTGTAATCTCACACTAACAGATTTGATAGGCCTCTGGAACTCACAGACCACAAATATTTAGGCGAATCTTGGGCTTCTGGAACAGAGTGAAAACAATCCGAACACAATATTGATTGCTGTGCTGTAACCAAAAGTTGTATTCATTCGTAACTGAAATGGAGCTTGAGGATGCATTAGTTCTATCAGGAGTCTGGGAAATGCACGTTTGGGAAAAAAAAAAATGCACCTAAACAGGGGAAACATGTCATTAGGAATTATAAAGGACACAGCATTGTATGTTCAGTTGCATGACACAAACCTACTCTTACAGGAGGTAAAATGTTGCAGAAGGTAACCAACTAAGAATCCACACAACCTCTCATGATGTTTTTTGCCATGCAATACATCATTACAATCATCCATTACATGAATAGTATATACCACAGGCCTTATATCCTGTCACACCTTTGATATCTCTGCTATTAACCACCTTGAGCCATATCAGTAGGTATGTGAGGAATGTCAACATATTGTATCAACAAATGATGGTGTTTAATTGACAGGGCAACCTTCTTCCATTTTTAATAATGGTGGGTGCCATTCACACTGCAGCACACACCATGCTGCGTGCTGTTACGATGCAAATTGTGTTGGAACACCAACATGCAGAATTCTGATTGCTGGACCAGAAGGCAGCACAGCTACTTGCTGTTCACTACCGTGGAATGTAGTCCAAAAAAGTACCAAAATTGATTATTATGTTAATCTTATACCTGACATTTGTTTGGACATATGGTGTATATACTACTCTTTTCACTCTCCCTTGCTTTAACATTTCATCATCTTCAATTTACATATATCATTGAAGTTTATATTTCAAGAACATATGTCTTCCTGGCCTTTGAAAATCACCAAGAAACACTTTACTCCCACAGTGCAGACCCACGTTGTCTGAAGTATATTTGCACGTTATATTAATAGAATTCAGAAGATTGCGCTACAAAATTCCTAAAAGAGAATCAGCCAAAGTTAGACTTGGCATCTGCACAAATCTCAGCTATTTTTTAGAATACTTTGACAACACTCATGTTATTGTCTCTCGGTTCAATTTTTCTGCTCATGTATTCCCCAAAGAAGGAAAGAGTGATATTCCTGTTCTCTGAATAAGGACACATCTTTCTTCTTAGAGTGATTTCATTATTTATTTTTCCTTCTCCTTGAGCTGCTGGGTCCCCTAACTCTTGTTCTTCCACACAAGGGCACAGAAGTCATCCTACTGCTACCAAGTCAAAGAAATTACAACAAAATTTTACTGGTAGAGGAGACACTACTTTTCAATTCTTGTTTTTTCAGCTAGATGATGAAAAGAAAGTCTTTAGAGCTCACAGAAAGTCTGTTAACTATGTATAATTCAGTGACACGAAAGACCTGAGCTCAGTGCTGACATGAGCCGTGTTGCAGTGCACGCTCCCAACTCCACAGGGCACTGTTCTGTCTCACGCATGCAGCTAGAGACAAAATAAATGTGAGGCATAACCAGAGTTATGCTCCTATAAAGCTGTCTCTGGAGAAACTCCGCAGTCATTAGAGAACATGTTCATCTTTCTCCATCTGATCTTTTCTGCTACATGCTTTTTGTATTACTCCTCAAGTTTTACTTCCATCTGGTATCAGCTTTTGATTAGAAACTTGTAAGTTGAACTTCAGCAGTTCAATGCAAAGAACTGAGCTGCTTCCAAGCCATTTTTTTTTTCCCTGAAACATCTCAGTTCAGTTCTTTTTTTGTTGTATCCCTGCCTACACTGAAAACTGCATTCTTAGTAAATACTTTGCAACTCTTGCAAAGAGCAAAAATCCCTCATCTCTGCAAACAAAGGAGGGTTCTGTTACCCTAAAAGAAACAAACCTTACAAAAAAAAGAGGACACTGCTTCTAAAACATTTGCTACCCGAAGTGTCCTGTCACTGGACAAACCCAGCCCAAACAAAACTCTTTAACACTCATGTAGTATTAAGAAGTAGACGTTACTTTTCACTACAGCACTGGATCCAAGGGGGATATTTCCACCTAATGTATACACTGACAGAGCAAAGGTACATCCTTCCTGTACATTAAGTTATGCACTGCAAAACTGTGCCTTTGGAGAGAGGTCTGCAGTCATCTTGAGATTTCAACCCCACGTCTCCTATGTGCACCTCTTTGGTCAGTTCACATCTCTCTTCCTGCAGGTTAGTTAGGCATGCTAATTGACTGCATGTTTCCCCTTCAAGATACTCCCAGAAGACAAGACCAGTCATACCTACAATTATAGGGAAGCTAAATTACTAGGTTTCTCAAGCAGGATACGATGCATGCTTAAAATGCTGTTCAACAAAAGCTTCAGTCCACAGCTCATTGCAGCACCAACAAAACGACACCCAAATTACTGCTCAGAAAGAAAAGATAGAAAATGTTCACTAATAAGCATAGTCTAGATGAGAAATCCGTGTCCTTCCATGCACTGGACTGAGAGGCAGGCAATTTTCAGTTGTGTATCTAGGCTGTTGGATGGTGCATTTTCACCACTGGATCACAATTACAACTTCAAAGCAATATAACAGCATATTGAGTCAGACCAAGGGCTGATCCGCGTAATCACATTCAATTCTAAATCATCTGTGGGACTGTATTAAGTGATTCAGGGTGGTGAAAACAAGTTATTAGTTTTAAAAAGAGATAAAGCAATGAAGGTAATGATTCCTGCTAGCAAGCAAGCCACAGAGTGAAATAGGAGTGCTGCCATCCACTTCTCATGTATGAGGAAAGATGGAGAATGTCTTGCTGCAGATGCCAGTTCTGTTCCTTAGGATGCTACTGGGTTATGCCTGGAAACTGCTAATGAGTTTGGTGCAAAAACACTGGATGGGGCACATGACTTCTCCTCACTATGGGCGTATCAATCTAATTTATCTACCGAATTACCAGTGCCTACAGCACACCTGTACAAACCTGATAACTTGAATCCTTCCTCTTTGTTTGCCCAATGCTGTCTTTAAACTTTAAAATCACTCTCATTTAAAAGTTCCATTCGCTTTCAGAGGTTTTTCTTAATCACTGCTTTTAATGAAACAGGGGGATTCTTATCCCACAGGCCAAACTACACGGCTTGTGTCTGCCCACAGCCTAGAGGTAACTTCTGGCACCCTAAAGGTTAAGAATGCAGACAAACAGGTTCTCCTGCATACAGCTCCAAACCATTTATGAGGTTATTACGATCTGACATATTTTATTACCCATGTGCTCTCAATTCTAATTGCAACAGAACTGAAAAAAAAACAAACAAAAAAACCAAAACAACCAACACCCTGCAAGATACTGCAGAAAGGCCAAAAGCTGAAAAAACACGAAGGATTCAAGTTATCAGGTTTGTACAGGTGTGCTGTAGGCAATGGTAACTCAGTAGACAGATTAGATTGATGTGTCTGTTTTGAAGAGTATTGATGTGCCCCATCCAGTGTTTTTGCACCAAACTCATTAGCAGTATCCAGGCATAACCCAATAGCATCCTAAGGAACAAAACTGGCATCTGCAGCAAAACATTCTTCATCTTTCCTCATACATGGAAAATGGATGGCAGCATTCCTATTTCTCTTTGTGACTTGCTTGTTAGCAGGAATCAGATCAAAAACACATCTTGCATATGAATGGAATTCAGTGAGATCGGACGTGGCTCGTGGATCCTGTGAGGGCTTGTTCAGCAGCCCTCAGTCACTCCAGCAGAGCTTTCTCCCCTGCACGGTTTTTCTTTGCTACAGAAATGCCATGTATGCATGTCAGACGATCAAGCAATGTGGCCAACCTCAAGCTGCTAGACAGAGGAAAAACTCTGACTCTGACTTGATATTCATGAGACCCAAGTACAAGAAAGTCAAAAAGGATAAGCTAGCAATAATTTTTTCAGAAGCTTTTCCCAACTCTGAATTATTTAACCAAACAATGGCAAAATGGCAGCCATTTTGCCACAAACAACGTGTTTGCCAACATAGGCAACTTAAGTGGCTCCCACTACGACTCTTGCATCCTTCTCTGATCAAAAAATCACGTTTTCATGTTTGTGTGTGATGCTAGGCTTAAACTAGATGGAAAAGACTGAAGACCAAGGAGAGAGAACCAGGCCCAACCTCTGTCAGGAAGACCCCAGGCCTTGC